GATATAGGTAACACATATTTACAGATAACACACGATGTAGAGTAAATGTAATTCATCATAGGACCACAAGCTTGTGATTATTTTTGATCAATTAATCATTTTCATTTTTGATTGCGGTTTCAGTCTCGAAAGCTTATTTTCAAGTTTTTTTGACGTAGATTTTTTTAACAATGTTAAATAGGCATGCGGTCCATCTAAAGATCCTCGAAAACACATTTATGTGCTAAAGAGGTTTTAGAATGCATGCAAGTTTACCAGTTACCAGCTGGAACAGAGCGCTTACTTTTTTTCGAGTACAGATTATCAAACAGTAGTGCAGATAATGATTACGTTCACCGTTTGGAATTTCCTAAGAAAAAAATTCTAGGATTATTTTCTACCTGCACGCCTTCATGACTCCCGACACGGCAGAACACGTGCGGCGCACGGTTGCAAACAAAGCCCGAATTTGTGAATGATTATTTCTGTCATCCTATCATAACCGCGATTTGGTTTGAGGACGAAATGAATATTCATCATCTGCCCTGTGTCAGACGAAAAACCACCGGTTAATATTGTGTTCGTTAACGAACACATGGATCCAGACTAGGTACATGTGCATGCACACGAACGGATTTGATGGAGGCTGCGCATCAATGCGTGCCGTTCTGGAAAAATCACTGGTGCCTCGTGGTCGTGAAATGCTCGACATCAGGCGAATGGAACCAGCCAATTTTCTTTCGTCGTAATAGCCCGTGTGTCTAAAGCAATGTATTTTAATAAGCCTACTGCTTTTTAATTAAATTTTCATTTCGCGTGATTTCTTCGTTTGGTGTTTTACATTTTCCAAGACTGCAAAAGCCATCTAGAGATTTGAAACTGTGTGAATGTACGTATCACAGCAAATAATGTAAACCTTTTGTTCCACGCACATTAAAAAAGGCAGGGGACAGGGCCTTCTCAGTGTCTGATCCCCGATGCTGGAACTCCTTGTCACACAACATCCGCAACATCAGTTCTCTTGACAACTTTAAAGGCAGACTGAAAACTTATCTGTTCTCTCCACATAATCTGTAACTTGTCTTCTGAAGTTGTCCTTAGTCGCGCATTGATACTTGCGAAAATTCGCGCTATAAATCGTGTTATTATTATTATTATTATTATTTTGTTCTCTTGACAGAAATCAATTTATTTGAGTAACAACAAATAAAGATTGTTTTTCCGAAAAATGCAAAATTAAAAAAGCGACGTTTTGAGAACGATCTCACCATCGTCTCTATGTTTTTTTTTTTTTTTAACTTGGGAAATTCCAATTTTTTTTTAAAACAAATATCATAATGGCGGTTATGCTATCGCAAAATCGTCCAGCTCTACATGGAATAATGTTTCCGATTTTGGTATTCAAATGATCTAAACTTCGATTAGTCTTTTAACCGAGTAATACTTGCGGCCCCTATTCATCAGCACAAAAACTCTAATAATCACAATTCCTGTTATTAAAGATATCCTGAGTATATATGTTCAGGCAATTCTGTTCATGTGAATTATTTCCAGTCTCCGTGACTTTCTTTTTATCATTGTAACAATATTAAGTATTATTTTTTTCAGAAAAAAAGCTTACTACACTGCAAAAACCGTAGAGTTAATTTAACACCATTCGGTATCTATATAGGACAACACCAGTAAAATTTAACCCAAGATGGTCCTATATAGATACCAATGGTGTAAATTTAACACTGCAGTTTTTGCAGAGTACACCAACATATTTAACAACCCTTTGCCACTTATAATTTTACAAAAGCGAGAAAAATGTACAATGCGGTGAAATATTCCTCTAACTGTTACGGTTCTAATTGGGCTGCTCGCCCCCTGATCCTCAAACTGAACATTTTGGCACTTATCGTGCGTTTCAATATTATATGTTCACACTTAATTCGGGCGATTTAAAATGCAGTGAGCCACCAAGAATTTGCCATGGAGAGTTCATTTATCAAGTTTATGGTTGACAAAACACAACCCATTTGAATGAGTGTCAGTCGACAATTTGAGCTTATTTGTAATATGGGCATATTGTTCTGCCGCCTTACGAAAAACACAATATTAAAAAAAAGAGATTATACTCGAATTATACGCTTACGAAACTAATGACCGGAAAAACTAACATTTTCAAATGTCCTGCGCTGCGAATTGTCGACCATCTGCCACAATGCACTTGAAAAAATGAACTCTACGTGGCGAACTCTTGGTGGCGCACTGTATTGTGAATCGCCCGAATTGGGCCTACATTTGCCAATCCCGAACCAGAGGAGGGATCGGGTTACCCCGGAAGGGGCGGGGCGGAGCTCTCTCTTCTTTGCCTTCTCCCTCCGAACCGTCAACCCTCTGCCCCTCCACACCCAAGCTGGGGGCGTTGTCTCTGAAAAGAGGCGGGGTCTCGACAGGAGACATCAGGAAGTTGTCGATGTCTGCGTGTTGGGTTGGAGGCTCTGTGCGGATGGGCGGTGCTTTCAATGGGCGTCTCTTGGTGTGGTGGACGTCTGCGTAGAGGACCTCCTAAAACGCAGCACGTAGATATGACAATTTTTAATTTTTGAGTATTTCCATTTTCTTTTTTTTTAATTTGAAGGAAATCAAACCAGGATTAATACTTTTACATAACTTGACAGAATGTATTCATTAATTTACATACCTCCTTAGAAATGATGACGGCTGGTTGTTGGATGCTGGTAGAAGGGACATTGGTTTGCGCCAGGGGGTCGGGGAGAACAACATTCCCCACTGTACTATTGCCTAAAACATAAAAGCCAACCAAAAACAAAAAAATCTAACATAAATTTAAAAACTAAAATACATCCAAAAGTCGTTGACATAGGTTAAAATCACCATGCAAATCATATTTTTTGAAGTTGTTTCCGGATGCACCGCATGAATTGTATATCATCTGATGTTGGCGTCCCCCAAGGATCTCTGCTCAGACCACTTTGTTGTATTCTGTACACGTCCCGATTTGAAGTCATCATTGAAGCTCGCGAAGTTGCGCTAAGGGAAAATGATCTATGCAGATGACACCAAAAGCTATGGTATCCTCAAAGAGCATATCGTTTCAGTGTCCTTCCCAATCAAGAACTTTGTATGATAGACATTGTACACGTTTTCTATCATACATAAGCTGAAACTAAACACGGACAAAACAGAAATCCTCCGCATAACAACACGACACATGATTCGTTCGTAGCTTCCTCCCATCCTCATCGGCAGTTCCCCTGTCCCACCTGTTTTTGTGGGGTCAGCTCATAAGTCCGACGCCTCATAGGTCCGACGCCTCATAGGTCCGACGCCTCGTTAATCCGACAAATTAAACACCTCGCTTTCGCGACGTCGGACTAATGAGGCGTCGAATTTATGAGGCGTCGGACCTATGAGGCGGAATAAATAAATTTTATGCCTCATAAGTCCGACGCCTCATAAGTCGGAAATTTCGAAATTTCAGACCCATGAGGCGTCGGTTTTATGATACGGCCCTGTTTTTGTGGTTCCCGATTTAAGAGTTGCAGGTCAAGACAACATTAAATTGGACATTCATTCCAATGTTTGCATTCAAGTAATTGGACAAATCCGAAAATATCTTCACAAGCTAACCACAAAGAAGCTTGTACACGCCTTCATTAAACCTCGTTTTGATTTCTGCAATACTGTAGTCTTTTTCAAGGGCTACCAGAGTCTAAAAATCGCAAAGCTACAACGTGTTCAGAATTCAGTAACCAGGCTAGTCATATTGTCACATGCTCATACGCAAATATTCCCCATTCTTCGTAATCTTTCCTCGTTCCAACCGAAAACAGGATAATCTTCAAACTGCTTCTCCTTTACGACAAATGGTCGCAGAGCTGACACACCGACTTTGAACGCACACCTTACATAAGCTGGTTACCAGCGTAATGTTTGTGCGCTATTTGTAACGGCGTAAATCTGTAATAGCGCCCTCACATCAAGATCTAAAAAATTCTGCGTTCAGATGTCAAGATGAAAGTGTGAAGGTTTCATCAAATGTCCTGTTAATAGCCCCAGGAATGCAACAGTTGCTGAGCTAATAGAAACTATAGGGTTCCCCTCTTAACGTAGATTAATAATGGAAGATATTGGCAAGTGGGAAATAAGGAATTTGAGGTTGTTTTATCGTTAACTTTTGGTGATGTACCGTAAACGACATGGATTGCTGTGTGTAGCGCTACATGGAACTTTGTAACGGGGAATTCTGCATACTTTACCCTCACGCATATACTGTTTAATTCATTGTTGATTAACGTGTGGCATGTCATTTAGGCACTTCTCTCTTTAAATCAAGCCCATGCATGCATAGATAACCTGTCACTTACCTCGATAAAGGTGAATTATGTTGGGGGGGGGGTGCTCCGAATCTCAAAATCCAGGCAAGAATTAAGAATGTTGGCATAAATACTTGAAGGAGCAACCTTTACAAACCCTACAAATAACAAAATCGCGAAAATTGTCAATTCGCCGGTATGTAGGCTGTGCGACGCAACGTCTCGTCCCTGCTTACCTCCAGGAACTGATCAATAAATATGAATCACGAAGAAACCTCCGCTCCAGCTCACAGTCCTTATACCTGTGTATCCCCATCTACAGGGTCGTATACGGACTGTAAAAGAACATCGTTCCTTTTCCGTCGCCTCTCCTGCCCTGTGGAAATAATTATCTTCTCACATCATAGAAGTATCAACCCTTGGAAAATTCAAATCACCCCTGAAACACACTAGTCCACACGAAATTCTTGGTAATCTTCGTCTTACTACTGTCTTGTATTGTTGAGCGCATTAGGACTTTGTGTAAAATGCACTTTACATTCACCGTTTATCAGTACATTGTAGTATTATTATTATTAACAATAACACAGACAGATCGGGCGTGAAGCAGGTTAAAACTGAACGTTTCGGTTAAAACTAACCGAAAAGCTGAGTTAATACATTTATTGAGTAAGTCTTTGAGTTGATTACCGGGATGGTAACGTCGAAAATTCCTTGTTACCGGAATGCCACTGCTAGAGGGCGTTGTTGCAGCTGGAAGCCGATGGCTACTTGGAAAGCAAGGATGATTTTCTACGTATATATTTTCAGCATCTTGAAATAAATTAAAGAAAATCCTGCATTAACCATCTCTGAAAATGACCATATATTTAAGGGTAAAACGAGTAATAGACTTCATTTTTGGAAAGGATATATTGTGGAAGGGGACATCAGTCTATTAACCAAATTGGTAGAAGCTTGGTTTTATTTTGTATCAAAAAAAGGGAAAGTATTTTGAAAATTTGATTAAATACAGAAGCAAACTTGAATCCTGAAACACAACGTCAATCAAACAGCGAATCGCCATTCTTTAGTGATTGGACACGATCGTTATCATTGGTCAATGCGCGTAAGGTAACATTCCAACGGCTTTGTCCCTTTAACATTTCTTATTTCCGTTTCAGTTTTGAATACGAATATCCCAATCTTGGTAGTTGGCACTTAACTTATAAGTTTACCTGATGGTTCCACGACTGTGTTCAAGACAGGACTCACAGACGCCGTGGGCCTGTCGGTTCCAGTCCGTGTGTAGTGAACTACAGGCCTGCAATAGCATGTTACCCAAACATCGTTATAAAAATAAAGCTTTCAGAGTCATACTCTTGGTGTTCTTGTGACATATTGTCGTGACGTTGTTTGACATTAGAATAAAACGACTCTACTGTGAACATTTAAAAAAAAAAGTAAATTCACAAAGACCTATCATCAATGAGGGCGCAATTGTGTAATAAGTTTGTCTTGTCCCAGCAGTTTTAGGTAGTTTATTTTACAGGCAGCAGTTTTGCACCAGATTTCATTCCACAAAGAATTAATAGTTCCAAGGGAATCAATAGGGACAGGAGTTACAATCGTTTCCTTCTGCTTTTAATAAGGAAGGAATCGCTTGTAACATCAGGCATGCAATGTTTGAAAACATGCTCTGATTATACTCGTTTATAGTTTGTCATCAGAAAATACATACATGATGGAAAAAATATGTTCAGCAATGACGATCACCAAAAGAGATGTAATACCCTGGAAGACCTATATCGTGTGAGCGCAAAAAGAAACTGAGCCGAAATACTTATTCAAATAAATCACTGTCAACCCCTTGTACACTGCCAGTATTTATACTATATTTTACTTACTGGTTTCCATCGGTGGGAATGTTATCTGTAGATAAGAATAAAAAACAATCAAACCAAAAACAAAAACCTACATTGTTTTCTGTTATTATTACCTTATTTTTAACTTCGATCCATTGCAAAATGAAAGGTAAACACTTCCGTTAGTTTTCGATGGTACACTTTAACCCACAATAAACGAAACTCATAAAAAATTATAATCAGCTCCAGATCCGATTTGTAAGCGGACAATTGCCTATACCAGATGAATCCGTTTCCTGGTGCAACGAATTCAAATGGATTTTTAATTCAAAACGCAACTATGATTATAGCACATTCTGGAAAATCAACAATATTGTTTCGATTAGGCCAACCCAAAAAAAGTATCCGGTTTCTGGTATGGAGCTTGCCCAAAAAGTGGTGCCGCGACGCGGCTTTATTTTTTTTACGTAATGTTTTTGCTTCAAATGTCGGCTGATGACTGCAAATGGTGCCCGACTAAACTTAGTGCAAATATATGGGAGTCCAGAGAGGCCACATAAAGCTTATTCTCGACCATAATCCAATCTAAAAACACGTTCAAATTGTGCAGCAGCAGGATTCCAGTCAAACCAGTGAGTTTGGCGGCTTTGAGACATCATCTTTCATTGAAAAAAAAACCTTTTTCATTTTGCCGACGCGCATGGCTACGGCGACGCGCGCGCATACCAGCAACCGGAGACTTTTTTTTGGGGGGGGGGGGGCCTTATCCACAGTTTTGTTTAGCTTTCAAGCCTCAAGTAAAACATTTCAAGATTGCTATATGGACTGAAGTAACAGGCAACTGCACCTGATATTTGCCTTGACTTGGGATTGGACTTCACCCATACCCAAACTACTGTAACCAACCACCAAATAAAAGCACTTGTTTGTTATTGATTACTATCACATTCATTTAATATGTGGCGTCCCCAGTATTTGGCAAAAAGGACTATTTTAAATGTCCACCGTAGATTTAAAAGAAACACGAGGTTCCTACGTAGTTCAACTGCTTGATGACGCAACGTTTGTATAAGTCCAAAGGTATTGAATATCAACATATTATTACTAGCAGCTGGTACTGAACAGAAGAGCTGCTGCAATTATTCTTTAGCAGCTACGGTGCAACACAGCGACAGAGGTACACAGGAGAAGCATATCAGAAGAGGGCTGCAGTACATTAGTATAAAAACAGCAGTAGATACTGAGCTCGATAGTAAGAACCCAATAGAGAAGGGTTTACGATAAACCTGGTTTACAATAAACTTACTCTTTTGGCGATTCCAGTAGACGATCGCCGCAACAAGAACCAGCAGCAAAGTAGCTGCAATACCGACCGCAACGATAATCAAAGTCGACTGACTCTCCATCGAGGGCTCTGAAAATGAATTGGAAAAAAAAATAAAATAAATGATTATCGTTTCAATGTACACAGAGTCAATTAATTGATACCCATTGCGATGTAAACCTGCGATTAAGCAATTCCTATATTTGTCAAATCACTCAGTCGTTTATTATTCAATACCCCCAGGACAACTGTTGTCAAAAACCAATCAAAAGGATGACAGTTTAAATAGAATATCATATTGATCACCATTTTTAAAATCATTTTTAACCACGTTCATTTGCCAAATCTGTAAGTTTAGTTTGTCGCGATTTGTGTCGGACAATCTGCTTTACAAGCTAGCCACAACAAATCTGTGAGAACAAGGGTCAACAATGTACTGGTACACAATAGCAGCCCGATATTGGTTAACTGAAAGCATTGTCATTGTTTGAATATAAAATGGGATTCAAAATTAACAAAATGTCATAAGTATAGCCAAAAATAGTCATCCTATAATAATCAATATACCTAAACTGCCGGTTTTCTCTTGAAGCTTACTGAAAAAGAAACTTCTTCGTATTTAAGTTCATATCTCTGTGCTTACGATATCACAAAACACTGTTTTGAAATCGAGGTTTGGACTGGTTTGACGTCGACGTGACACGAAACAAATACAAAGTAAAAACAACTAAAACGTACATATACAATTACACATGTTGGCCTATACACTGCCTATAAATAACCAATTTATAAACAAAATAAAAATAAACATACATGGATATGCGCGTTCATTAAACCACATTTCTTTAGTGACTCTTAATCCCAATGGTATTGCTTTTTGCTGTTTGCCTATTAACAACGATGTCATTATTTTGAGCAGATGTCAACCATATATCACCTGTTGCAACATTATTGAAGTAACAATGAAGATAAATACTGACAAACGAGGTTCGATAGAGCAAAAGGTATATACAACATTTACAAAAATATCTAACTTAAAGGCAATTTGCCAGTCAGGCTGATACTCTTCGCCAAAAAGCCCGCCGCACACGATCGAGAGCTTCCTTCTGTTGCCTCGCGAGGCGAAACCTCAACGTGTGCAGTCAAGCTGATCTTCATGCCGAGCTACAAAGAGTAACTAGCCAATATTATGTAATTGCGTACTCTGTACACGTGACATTTGTTTGTGCAAATCCAGACTTGTATTCGAGTCACGAAACATCGAGTCCAAGTCCGAATCACATTTCTCGAGTCCAAGTCCGAGTCCCGAGTCATCCAGGTCGAGTCCGAGTCACGAGTCACGAAGGTCGAGTCCAAGTCCGAGTCACGAGTCACCTCGCGTTATCGCGATGCGACAACAATACACGTGTGAACGACTGCACGTCTGACAAGAGAAGTCTGGTACCTTACCCTATCAATCTTGCACCCATGCAGTATTACGTGCGGACGGCGGGGTACAAGTTTCGGTACATTGATTTCTTTAATCAATATATCGATAACCGGCCACGGCCACGCAGGCTCCGCATCGAGCGCCCTGTACATGTATTGCACAGTAGAGAAAACGATCGACTTGAACGTGTGTGCAGTGCGGTAATTTCCGTCGAGCCACAAGTCATCAGTTTGAGTCCAAGTCCGAGTCCGTAGCCCCGAGTCCGAGTCCGAGTTGTAAGTCAAAGTGACTCGAGTCCGAGTCCGAGTCAATAAAAATGTGACTCGAGTCGGACTCGAGTCTGAGTCACGAGTCATACAAGTCTGTGCAAATCCTCTTAAGTGCGTTTGTCCCAATATGTATAATCACGCGACCGACACACAAGAATAGAGTGCTTTCATTGGCTAGCTAATACTTCTAGTTCACGGTGAGTTTGTTCGCCTTGCGATGCAAACGAAATCAAACGAAATATATTTTAGCCTCAGCCTCGCCAGGCAGAAAACTCAGCAAACCCAGCCCACCGAACACGGTTATATTTTGTGAGTTACGTGCTAATGAGCAAACGGCCTCGAATGACTTTTTGCTCAGCACGTTCCTCTAGTGTGCCGCGGGCTTAAAAGCTCATATTTTGTATGGTCAATCAGAGTCCTTACATTTTACACCCAGTTTCCGCGTTTATCCTTAGTTGATAACATTAGCCGTTTTAAAATGCGTGAAAAGCGTAAGGCACAAATTAAAACATAAACTCACTCGGTGTGTTAATTGTTGATCCGGAATCTCCGTTGTTGTTTTGGGATGGCCCTGTAGTTTCAAACTCCCCCCTTCCATCTTTAATACGTCAATCAGATTCGAGTCAAAATGTCAAAGAATATCACATACTTTACATTGCTGAGAAAACGTATTTCTGATAACTTATTTTCAGGTTGCTGGTGACAATACAGTATTGCAATTCATACTGAAAAAAACCTTAATAATTATGTTTTTAAAATCCAACCGTTCTTAAAACCTTTTTTAAAATTCTACAAACAATGTGATGGCCTTTTTTCCAAACACTGTCAGTTGTTTTTCTTCTCAAGAAAGAAATGGAGCTAGCAACAAAACTGTCAGAACGCATACACTCAGAAAAAAACCCAAAAGATAATCAGTGTTACCACTGCATTAAAAAGTACAAATATTATTATCTAAAACATAAAATAGCCCTACATGTACATGAGTACGAGAATATGCAAGAAATTTATAGCTGCTTGCTTGCAAGATATGTAACAGTTGAAAGATGTTTCGGTCCGTTACTATATACCAGTAATATTTTCTTGAAAGCAACAGCATACCAGGCGCTATGATTCACAGGATGTTTGATATTGTTATTTGCAATCAAGTACACTCTTAAAAATACGTGGTTAAAAAGTAACCACGTCGTGGTCATTTTTAACCACGTTCCCGTCGTCAAATATGCACCGACGATATCCGTGGTCAAAACGACCCCACCTGACGTGGTCAGTATAAATAACCACGTATTTTGGTCGATATTTGACCCCATTGTGGTCATATTTTAACCCAATTCCGTGGTCAATTTAACCCCATTACCGTGGTCAGCCATTTTGACCAATTCCCGTGGTTAAAATTTCGCAACCCGATTTCGAGTTCAAAAAAAAAAAAAAAAAAAATCATGGACTAAATAATTCTACAAGTAATCCTGAAATGGTGCACTTAAAATGAAACACCTAAAATTCAACGAAGGGAAACTTAGACATGAGAAAGAATGCTTTAAGAGTGCGTTATCTTCAATACACATTTTTCTTTAATAAATTCCGAATATCCTTATACATTTGTTAACTTTTTTTAAATGAATGCAGTTGACTCTCTTAGTACAAACAATTCTTTCATTTTTTTAGAGACATATGAGCACCAAATGTTACAAGTACAATTTAACAGCACACAGATGTTTTTCATTAATAAATTGATGGTGTGAACAGTTTGTTTCACCAGTCTATTATATAGCTGATTATTTTAACCAACTTGCACAGAATACAGCATTCAGGTACATACATGTATGCATTGTAATCATTGAAAATGAACTGTCAGGTTGTGCATGTAGCTGCAATTATTTAATGATTGTGGTACATTTTCAGTACATTTTAAAAATCTCAAGTATGCAAAAGCTAACACTTGTGTCACCTAATCCACATAATCAAAGATAATGTCAGGATTAAACAAAAATGGTTTTCAGTCAATAATTAGAATTTCTTTAAGTATTTTCTGCTAAATTTAAAAAAAAATGAAACAAAATTTGTGAGGTCTATTTACAGTAGAGAGTTTGGTTTGAACTGACTGAACACTGTAGGACCCGTCTATCTTTGGTTTGCATCCTCGTGTTGAAGGTTGTCGCTGACATTCACTCACTGTTTGGACACCTAAAGTAAAAAAAAAAAAAAAAAAGGGAACTTAATAAATACTTCTGGAAGTAAATTTAATGTTTTTGTTGCATCAGTTTGAAATTTGAGTTGCATATGACTGATAGACAAAATACTTTCACTCAGTAATTCACTTTTTTAATCTAAAAATTACATGTGCATTGTAAACATGTGTGTACATTTAATGTTCATGTTTGTGATACAAAATTACTTCATTGATGTTCAGAATGTATCCACAGTCGTATGACTAATTCGAAAACCTCATTGTTGTACACATGAAGAATAATTACCTTAAATTTAGTAGCATTAACACAAGCTGAACAGCATGCAATAACCAGCATGACAGCTGGCCCTCTACAGGTTGTCTTCATGATGTTGGACGCATCTATCAGTCAATCATCCAGATCATTGCAGGAATGGTCACCAGTCAGCCAGGGCTGAAAATAAAAACACACACAGTATGTTTTTGTCAAAAATGTTATTCTTGGGACATTGGAAGACCATTTCACTGACTAAAATTACACATAAGCCTAGCCCGCATGTCCATTACTTGTGCCCGGCTCGCGTACGAGCTGGCTCGCGTACGAGCTGGCTCGCGTACGAGCTGGCTCGCGTACGAGCTGGCTCGCGTACGAGCTGGCTCGCGTACGAGCTGGCTCGCGTACGAGCTGGCTCGCGTACGAGCTGGCTCGCGTACGAGCTGGCTCGCGTACGAGCTGGCTCGCGTACGAGCTGGCTCGCGTACGAGCTGGCTCGCGTACGAGCTGGCTCGCGTACGAGCTGGCTCGCGTACGAGCTGGCTCGCGTACGAGCTGGCTCGCGTACGAGCTGGCTCGCGTACGAGCTGGCTCGCGTACGAGCTGGCTCGCGTACGAGCTGGCTCGCGTACGAGCTGGCTCGCGTACGAGCTGGCTCGCGTACGAGCTGGCTCGCGTACGAGCTGGCTCGCGTACGAGCTGGCTCGCGTACGAGCTGGCTCGCGTACGAGCTGGCTCGCGTACGAGCTGGCTCGCGTACGAGCTGGCTCGCGTACGAGCTGGCTCGCGTACGAGCTGGCTCGCGTACGAGCTGGCTCGCGTACGAGCTGGCTCGCGTACGAGCTGGCTCGCGTACGAGCTGGCTCGCGTACGAGCTGGCTCGCGTACGAGCTGGCTCGCGTACGAGCTGGCTCGCGTACGAGCTGGCTCGCGTACGAGCTGGCTCGCGTACGAGCTGGCTCGCGTACGAGCTGGCTCGCGTACGAGCGTCAGGTACGTCAGGTTTGTGGCCAAGTAGGCTTGTACGTCAGGTCTGTGGCCAAGTAGGCTTGTACGTCAGGTCTGTGGCCAAGTAGGCTACGATGACAGTTCTTACACTTGAATTTACAACAAATTTCGGTAAACGAGGCACACAAAATGGAATAATTTGCCCGCTGATAACGTAAGTTCAACTGTCAATGCGGAGGCACATTATGCATGACGGTAACGTACGTTAAATCAATGACGAGCTAGGCCTATGTCATGTAGGCCTATGTCATGTATGTTAAATCGCTGTTGACATGGTTGACCATCATGAACATAGCATAGGCGCGGCCTAGCCTACCCGCAGCAGCACAGAAGCGGAACTTTGAACGAATATATGTCCCTTTTTTTCGGCGTTACATTAAAGACCTTAACGGCTCGGGCGTTTTTACTCAATGAAAAGTTGTATTACTTCGAAATAAATATAAAAACTGACTTACATTGTTTGAACAAGCTGATTCTGATCCACGAAACATCGGCACATCGAGCAACAAAGATGGCGGACAATGAAGTGGAAATTTCCGCGCCGCGCACTGTGCGCATGCGTGAGTGTATGCTTTTTGACCACGGTTATTCGGGGTTACTACATTGACCAAGTGGATGTCAAATTTTTTGCAAATCAACCACGGAAGTGGTCAAATAAATTTGACCACGGAAAAAATAACCACGTATTTTTAAGAGTGTAGGATCTTTCCTAACAATTACAGTTGCTGTTTTGAAAATTGTTTAATCACATTATGTTCATTTGTAACGAAATATATACATAACACAATGTTGCCCAGAACCCCCCCCCCCTCTAAAAAAACACAAAAAAAAAACAACACTAAAAGCTCTTGTGAACACGTGCGACTTATTTAAAGTGCAACCGTATAAGCTTTTTTCGTAGTCGCCCGCAATAGTGTTTTACCGGGTTATTCAACGAATTTGAGAAAACGATACAAAAATACGAAGAATAGACAGAAGGACAACAAAAATACCTGTTTTTTCATAGTGGCCGAGCAACCGAATATTCGTGACCACCTTCCCTCCTGCTCCAGTTGCCGTGCACGTTAGATTCTCCCGCTGACCAGGCTGAAACGACGGCACGGTAAACGTGCTGCTGGTGTTGTACAATCTCGTACCAACTACCCTCGTCTCGCCGCTTCTGTTCTTTCCAGCGAGTGTCCAGGTGATTTCTGCCGGGGGTTTAGTGTCTGTGGCCAGGCAGGTGAAGCGCTGGTCGGTGTCCAGTCTGATGAGCACGTATCCGCTATAAACTTCGCCGGTGTTGGCGTTGATGATGTACACATCTTTGGGTGGCACTGCGGGAAAAGCATTACAACTTGCATCAGGACAAAACCAACAGGAACGGCAATAGTTATTAGAGAACTTCAGTAGAAATACAGCATTCAGCAACTCTGCCAAATAGGCTCTTCAATGTATCGATCAAGTCTTCTGAATTATAGTATCCATGTTTTTAGTCAAGGTCGCAAAAGAGCAACCCACAATAGTCTTGCGCATACATGACTGCGTCTGGACAGTGAATTGGTTCTGAGAACAGTGTGCTCCGTAAAGTATAAGCAACCTATCATCTTGCTACATTGACTGAGAAACATGGATAGTGGTCAGATTTCGAAACATACTGATTAGACGTCCAGCGAACACCTTCTTTGAAAACCACTTCTCTGTTAAGTAAAACTAGGGGTTTTTTTTCAAGGCAATCCATAGAAAGCCAACTACCGATTTTCTTTGGTCGACCTATGCGTCGACCAGACTTTGAAAGTTTAAATGGGAAATCGTCACCCTCACAATTCTGTTGCACGCGTTTTCACTTTTATTGGAGGCATGCGTGAATTTCGGCATGCGCACCTATACAGTTTTAAACTCCTTATAGGTCAGATCAGCGCGCGCACATAAAAACTTTTACGGAACATCGTGTCACCTAAGTTATGTCATTTATCGAGGCTGCTGGACCATCCAACCTAGATTTAGACCGCAAGATTATCACCAGCAACTACACAATGGGAATACCATGTTTCAATTAAAACAGCTGTATCCAGTTTCGACTTACCATTAACTGTCAATGATTTTTTTTTCCACACCGTCGTAGCCGAATACCGAGCTTCACATCTGTAGCGCCCCTCATCAGTTAACTCAAGGTTGTTAATCGTCAAATTGCAACCGTAGTTGTCATGGTGATAGTCATACTTCCCTGTCTTAGTGCTGCCCTCGTCTGTGCACACATCGTGCAAGAGTTTGTTTCCAAGCAACCACTTGAAGGTAATGTGCGGAAAGCCCAATGGAACTCTTTTGACGAAACATTCCAAAGCGATACCCCCTCCTACTATCCCGTTCAACATGGAAGTTGTTTCAGTAATTGCTGTCCCTGCATGGAGGAACACAAATATGCTAATGGGGAATCTTCAAGTTGTGCGAGACTTTACGATAAAAACACCGAGGAGCGGCCATCAAAAGCTTTGTATATTTTTTTATACGGAGAGGCCGGTTAGCTGGACCACACTTAAAGCTTTAGAGAGTCCTCCCCCCTTTTCCAATCTCTCCTTTTACTCATATCCACAATTCAATGAAGGAAATGGACATGAGTGGGCACCCGTTTAAATAAATGCATTGACTTCTATTATGGTTCTATTAAAGAAACCAGTCGGCAGTGGGAACTCCCCCGTCCTTCTTCCGTGAAACATAATATCGTCGTGTCAGCGTAAAATGTCGTAACTGCCGCATTTGTCAAAATTCTGCTTTTTGTGTACTCTTTTTTGTTAAGATTTGCCCATAGATTATAACAAGAAAGTGCGTCATTATGACGTAATGGATTTAAAGTCATAAGATCGTATATTGACTGCGAGACTGAACGTGCAAGCAAAAACGTCGTGTCTCTCCGTAATTATACAGTGTGAGTCAAAAGAAGCAGAGCCCAAACCTCCCAAAATATATTTCATATTTAAAAAAAAATGTAGCACCAAAAAAAAAAAAATTATAATGACTGAAAAGCCAATTTCATAAGCTACGTTAGGATGTACAAAATTCTGAAATTGCTCAATCCGTTCAAAGAATATCACCATTTCAACGTAATGATCCTAAAACCTGTCTCGTCCAGTCCAACATAAAAACCCAAAGGTCATTTTCTTTGCTGTTCCTAACAGTCAAACACACAATATATTATATTGTGTGTTTTGACTGTTTGGAACAGCAAAGAAAATGTCACAGAATATATCGTCAGCAACACCACAAAGTAACACCCATGTATACCAGTAAGAACTAGCAATCGGAGAAAACGGCATCTAAATTTGAACGCCTTTTAAAACAACACTTGGCGTCTTTGTGGTTTCTCGTTGTAGACACTTGATAAATTGAACTCATTAACGCTGCTGTTTTTCACCCGTTTGTGTATTAATTCAACAAGAAATAAGAGAAAAAATTAGTGTTAGTTCGTGAAACCGAAAAAGCTGCGAAACTGTAAATGTTCGTTTTCACGAAGTATCACCCTTCAATGTATATAACACGAGGAAAGTGCAACTTCAGGTCAGCGCGCACGCGCTCATACAAGGAGATTGTTACTTCGTGAAAACGTTTTTTGCTCACATTTGAGCATGAGTGCGCGCCATGCATTGAATTTTAAATGGAACCTGAGTGTTACTTCGTGAAAACGAAAATTATCACTTTTGCGCAAAAGTTGCCATGGATAAATAGCTCTTAAAGCTTTGAAACTTCGTGCAATGGTAGGCCTTGATGAATAACATTTAAAAAGGGTCCGCTCATAAGTCCGACGCCTCATAGGTCTGACGCCTCATAAGTCTGACAAAATCGCATCCCCCAACCAAATAAAGGCCCATAACGTCACCGTTTTGACGAAGTGACACATCCGTCCAAAACCGAGATTTTCTGAAATCTGAGGTTTTTGAATATTCTAACATTTTATGATGTCCTCTACATGATTACCAAATTTCGAGACACAACATTCCATCGTTCGTTAATTACGCTAGTACACAAAGTGTTGAAAATGCACACAGTTTTTCGTTTGGTGACGGTGACGATAAGTCCGACGTCCCATAGGTCCGACGACTCATAGCTCCGACGCCTCGTCAGTCCAACAAACTAAACGACGCGTTTTTCTGACGTCGGACTTATGAGGCGTCGGACCCATGAGGCGTCGGACCTATGAGGCGAAATAAATAAATGTTATGCCTCATAAGCCCGACGCCTCATAAGCCCAACATTTCAGACTAACGAGGCGTCGGACTTATGATACGGCCCCGTTTAAAAAAGGATAAGAAAAGAAAATCGAAAAAAAAAAAATGGTTTAACACGTGGAGTGTTACTTTGTGGTGTCGGTGACGATATGTTTCAACAACTGTCACCAACTGTAGTACAACATATCTTCATTAACAACCCTGGTTGGGCAAACAATATGCTTTATAACATCTCCTTAAAAAAAAATGCCTTCAAAAGGACTTTCTTGCATATTGTTAAAGTTTACACTAAGATTTTGGACGAGACAGGTTTTAGGGTCATTGTGTTTAAATGGAGATATTCTTTGAACGGATTGACCAATTTCAGTATGTTTTTTTCATCCGAAAGTAGATTATGAATTTGGCTTTCCAATCATTATTATTTGTGGTGCTACACATTTTTTCAATATGAAATATAATGTTTGGGGTTAGGGTTCCGCATTTTTGACTCACCCTGTATGAAGAGTGCCATACGGTCGTGGTTGCTTAATAGTCACTGAGATTCATGTTCTTTTAGGTACGACATCTTTATCCAACCTCCGGGTACCCGACGGTTTTGTGCGGTTTTCTAGTCTCTGATAATAATGGTCTGGGTTTCACTTCTGAATATTGCAATATGCAAGGTCATGATAGGAGTCCAGAGCTCATCAAGAAGTGCTCAGCTATTTATGGGGAATAGACCAGGACAGCTAGAACGATAGACAAAAGACAGACCCGCCCGTCTAGTGTCACTTTGTCAAGGGACGAAAACCGACGGAACAGTGAACAAAAGATAATGCAGACCATCTGTGAATATTGTCAGGGGATTATCGGATAATTGTTATGATTCCATTGACATCCCCGCGATTGTTTTCCTTCTCCCAAACGACATCCGCATATGTTGTGTACGCTTTGGCATTTTGAACTTTACTTGAGATGAAGTAAGAAGAATTTATGAGGAGAAATTATAAAAGTAGAAAAAAAAATCGATTCTATTTCCATTTAAAAAAAATCCTCCGAATCCACAGGCTAGAAAAAACAACAAAAACAAATCGAGTAGAAAGCGGTGATTCGAGCCCGCAACCTCGCGCTGCAACATCACAACCCTGTGTCGACTGAGCTATCGCACTGCTTGCAAAAACGTAGGGAAAAAATATTGTAAACCTGCTTACGTATCATAAAAGTATCGTAGAGGGCTTTAAACAACCATGTATGCGGATGTAGTTTGGGAAACAAAAATCTGCATCCCGTTCTTGCGTGTTTGTTCGGTGAACATGCATTCACAACTTATCTCTATGTTTCAAAATAGAATTTTGGCAACACTTTTTTTTATTTTATAGTTTACATGCCTTAATTGGTATTACCCATGGTAAAAACATGTCCAAAATGCGCTAATAAATATTTAAATTAACATACGGCACCCCATAAGAGTAAACATATTTCGTGATTTTTCTCGATTTAAGCCCTACGAACTAAAGTAAGGAGGCTTCAATGTTTTTTTAATGCAATGTCGTATCTCGGCAAGTTACGACGTTTTGACAAAAATACATAGCGCGTCGACTCAAGCAAACGTTGTATGCTGATCTCACTCATTTAAACATTCTTTATTTAAAATCATGAGTAAAAACCACTTTATTTTTAGGTAACCTTATCTCCAGATTAAATGAAACACAAACATTCAGCGCACCGCCGCAAACATATGCATTTTTCTCAAAACGACTCAAAACTGAAAAAAAAACGTCGGTGAAGGGCAAAACCTAATTTGATTGACTCAAAACTGAGTTACGACGTTATTTGCACTATGACACGACCATATGAACCCTTCAGTTAAACATTCCATATGATACATGTGCTCTTTATAATGACATTTCCATCTCTACAGCACTTTTATATGGATTCCAAAAACATTAACCCTGTTGTAGGAAATGACTGGTTCAGATTGCTTGCTAATCATCCCTTACTATGTCAATATTAAAATTCCGTTAATTAAAAATTAACGGAATAATTAATTAAAATAGTGATTCATTATTTTTCCCCATCAGTATGAACATATAATAGAAATACTTACCATTAAACACGATGAGTTCTACGGCATATTTGCGGGGTCCCGTTCCTTGTAACACTTGACAGTGATAATGTGTGCCATTCAATGACCCTGAAACATGCGGGATCGTCAAAGCTCCACTGGTCTTGTTAAGTGTATAGTTTGCACTGGTGTTTGCACATCCGGCAATGGTCCCATTATCTGCAAGCCATTCGAATTGGATGCCTGCATTACTGCAAGGTGGAGTCTCAGCCAAATCCGGTAACTTGCATTCCAGGACCACATCCTCTCCCTTCACGGCCGTCAAAATCGTCTCTATGCAAACATATAAGAAACAACATTCTAAAATCAGACAAAATTACCATCATCGGTGAACGCTAATCCGAATTTACGAAATGGTTTATCCTGTTTCGGAATCTATGGCTTTTTGTTGGAATAACAGTTGACTTAACACTAAATTGATCCAAATGGATTTTAAAAATCTCAATGATTTTTTTTTTTATACTGATCAAAACCTTTTTTTCTTTGACAAATATTCTAAATGTTGTCGGCATTATTTTCCTTACCACATGAAACGTGGCATGCAGTACCAAACATGCAGACAAAAATCAACCCGCACAACTGATTCATTTCCAAAGAGCTTCAATTTGTCCGGTAGTCCCAAATCAGTGAACCAACTACAACGCGTTGCAACGAAGTAAAGAAGTGAAGCCAAACAATTTAGGAACGTCACTTACATATCAAGCTAGTCACCGACGAAACTTACGCCAGTGGCTTCTAATGTATAAACAATACTTGTCGCGGGTTATGTAGTTATGTGCATGTCATGCACGGTCACGTGAATCTGTGCAGAAAGGAAGTGTTCAGAAAAATTATTGCCTATCTAGTACTACAAAGTTATGAAAACCAAAACTTTGACCAATATGCCGGAATAGAAAAAAGTAAGACGATGTTTTTTTCCGGAAAGCAATTATATAGATGCTCTTTCCAAATGCCATCCAGAGTGCATGTCATGGCCCAGAGATGAGATGAGATGAGATGAGATGAGATGAGATGAGATACGATACGATACGATACAATACGACACGATACGATACGTATCCAATTGCGGGAAATTCCATGGCCTTTTTAACTGATTTTTTTTTAAACGCATACAAAAACTTTATTTTAACGACTACACAAATCCAAACTACAGGCATCAATACAAAAATAATAAAAAAAAGATATGTTTATGTAGAAACAAAGGATCACGAAATTAGATCCCTTCCAGTACAATCAACTGTTTTGTTACAAAAATGTATCTTGAGCGGTGTGATAAATTTTAGTAAACATTCTATGTGCGCAAAAAAAGAAGAAGTATTATTTCGGATTTGATGGCGTCATCAGTCAAAACGGTAAGTTAATACTGATAAAGTTCGGAGAGGAAAAATTATATATGTGAAGTTAAAATAACGTATGAAAATATATCAGAAACGTAATTGTTTGTATTAATAACACCTAACTTCCTGTTTGAAAATGTCACAGCATCAGAGATCCAAAGGTGGACATTGTAGGATATCATTATTTGGACTACAAAGATATGACACGTCCGTGCGTAGAAAAAATAGCGCCCTCTTGTGTTTAATTCGTACCAGGCTTTCAACCTGCGCGTTGTATGCAATGAGGTGGTTGTCTTCGTTATTGCCTCTCTAATGTAGATGGCTGGACATGGTAAACATGTAATCACTTTATTTTATGAAACGGTTTGGGACTATACTGTACATGTACTTGTATTGGGATTTTGTGTAACATAACATTCATTTTTCTGTGAACTGTGTTACATTAGGTTTTCATGAACGAGTCATTTTCACACGTGTGTTTATAATGTCTAAGCATGAGACCGTTTAATGTTCAGGGCCTTTTAATTTTATTGACAAGAAGTTGAAGTGCTTATTAACATGGAGGACTGACATAAGGTTTTTGTAATCTCTGTTATATAGTTTTACCGCCGAGGCAAGAGCAAAGTAGTTCTTGGAATAAAGACAAGAGTACAACTTTCAACTCTACGGTCTCAACGTTTACTTCCTGTCGCGTGGTTAGCTACTGGATAGGGGGTGTGCTTGCGCACTCGGAGGCCACCTGTGAGAATCACGTGTACAAAATACGCGCCGGAAAGCCTATTTTTCTTTGAAACCGAGGTTTTTGTTGGGCTAAAACCAATGCCTACATTGAAGTTAACCATCTGTCCATCACCCAGAGAAATTTGCAGGTAATTATAAGGGGAGCGGTACATTTCAAATAATGATGGGTTTTTGAGGGGACCAATTTCGTTTTCTTTGTATGATGCGAGCCATGCCTTACTGTGCAACTTGCTTAAGTGCATGTATATTGTACATGTACATGTACACCATGTACATTGTACATTCACACGCGTAGGTGTACAGTGTACATTTACATGTACTGTACGTACATGTACATCATAATTATGATTAGTCACTGCCAGTCAGTTAGTAGTCGAAATATTGCTAGGAAGTAGGATAGATTTAGGAACAGTCTCAGTTTGTCATATTTATTGTTTCGGTAGGCGATACAAGTTTAAAAAGCTATAGCATGCTAGTTGCAACATGTAAGTCATGTACCCATTCAAATATACCTTTTTTTTTTAAGCAGGGCCTTAATTAAAAACATGGAGCAAGGAAAAGTAGTAAAAAGTAATCTCGGAACAAAAACAATCATGACAATAAAGCTTAGCTAGGCCCTAGCATGCCTAGTAATAATCAGTGTTGTAGGTCTCGAGACCACTTTTTGCTGCTCTCGGTCTCGGTCTCGGAAGCTGTGGTCTCGGTCTTGGTCTCGGTCCCCTTTCCCAGCAGGCATTTTTCGTCGGTTTAACGTCTATCTGACGTCAGATTCCGACCAACTCCGACGTTGTTTTTTGGTTGCCGTCGTGGTTGTAAGTGTAAGTTTTTTAGACGTTGAAAACCTGACCAAATTCTAACGTCGGTATGTGGTCAAAATTATGACGTCAGTCTGACCATGATTAACTGCTAATCCTGACCGAAATCTAACGTCTGTATATAGTCAAATTATGACGTCAGTCTGACCATGATTAACTGGTTACATGGACGTCGACAGGACGTCAGATTGTTGGTTGAATTTAGGTCAGAATATGGTTGAAAGTGTCAGTTATTTAGACGTCGAAAACCTGACCGAAATCTAACGTTCGAATATAGTCAAATTATGACGTCAGTCTGACCGTGATTTGACTGGTTATATGGACGTCGACAGGACGTCGCGGTTGAAGTTATTTAGACGTCGAAAAATGACCACATTATAACGTCTGAGTGAGGTCAAAATTGACGTCTATCTGACCGTCGTAATAACGTCCTTTCAATGTTCAGATTTCATGGTTGAAGTTAGGTCAGTACATGGTTGCAAATGTAATTTTTGTAGACGTTGAACACTGTTATTTCGGTTGTGTAAAAATCAAACGGTTATGTACTATATGAACCTAGCAACCTGTTGTGTAAACTGTTGTTTACACAACAGTGTAAAAATATTACACAACTTGTTCATTTTTTTTCACAACTGGTTGGCTAGGTTCACATAGTACACAACCGAAATAACAGTGTTAAGTTTTCTAACTTTAGTTAATAGTCAAAATAGTGGCGTCAGTCTGACAGGTTTAAACAATGGCAATTAGACGCTTCAAATGTTCAATGTTGATGGGCCGATCAATTTTGACATCAGATTTCATTACCACAGTTCAACTTAATTTGGACATGAAATAAAAAAAAATAGACGTCGGTTTGAGCCGTTGAATCAAACACTGAATCACAACCAACACAGACATGATCTCTAATCTCTTTTGTGAATATTTGTGCAGGTATAGAAGACATCAGGCGGTCGATGTTGATCCTGATGGTGCATGGTGCCACGTAAAGTAGGGCTTAGGTAGTGTATTCGTCTCCCTCAACTGACCAAAGCAGAGAGCTGGAAAAGGGAAAAAAATGAACAACAATGTCAATTTTCTTGAATACCAACACATTTTTAAAATAATGATGACTCGTAAATAATTAAAACAAAAGTTTAATTTTCAGAAATCCGAAATAAGTATTAAAAATAGTTCTTATGAAGAAGACAAGTCGAAGCATAGGCCTATTTTAAGTCTAATGGGCAATTTCATGCGATTCTAAGAAACGAATATTACTGAAATTAATTAATGAAAAATTTAAAATTGCAAGCACCGTAACTTTCTTAATAATTATAAAAAATAATTAACATTTATTTAGCACCTCACACGCCGTGGTATTAACAAAACATGACATAGAGTACACAACAAAAGAAAAGTGGCATAATGTATCGTCATACGTGATTCCCAAACTCTGAACACTTTTAAAACTAGATTGAAAACGTATCTGTATCAAAATATCTGTAAAAAATAAGTTAGTATAAGTTAATAAGTAAGTTGAGTTAGGCCGGATGCGGAATATGTTGCGGTGCAGTTAAATTCACAAGAAATTGAATATTCTAAATCTTCAATCAACCCAGTACGTGTGGGAAACTCGTCTCATGTTGAGATATACTTTAAAATGACCTCATTTTTCCTAGGCCTAAATACAGATTGGACATGATGATGGAAAGCGGGCAGAACATGCATGACTGCTGATTAGTTAGGATTTTCTACTTCTTCAATGTTTAAATAAAGGGCACCGTTAACAGTGTAACTTTGTTTTTAAAATAAGAAATGACAATAGCATCCAACATGTCTAGTCTAACATTAACAACTTTCTACAGTGAAGTTAAGGTCCTTTCCATGGAATTTTAATGTTACAACTGACATGACTGATAGGGAACATAATATAGATATAATAGAGATACAATTTCCAAACTTTTGACCTTCAAAGAAATTGCAAATCTCTAACTCGGAAACATTCACGTTTGAAACTTACCATTTTCAGACATTGCAAAATCAGATCATCTTGATTGCGGTTCAATCGAAATCTTGAAGTGTGCTTGTCCTATACATATTGATGTCGTATCTTGACTTGAAGTTAAGATCGGGGGTGGGAACATCTCCAAAGTTAACAGTACTCCATCGCAGAACCAGATCTTGACAATATTGTTGAAAGGTGCACAAAACTTGTTCACTTTGGGCCAATATGTCTCTTCCCAAAGCTGCTTCAGTTGTGACTGTTGTTTTAACGGATATTCAAACTGGCCAGAGTCGTACAGTAGTGGAGTTCGTTGGAATGCAAGAGGTCACACACAGGGCATACATATGCTTACGTGTAATACGTTTGGGCTATACGGTTTTCGCGCGCGCGGCACTTGGCTCTGGGCCAAGACAATTATAATTGGCGCGCGCCGCAGCTAAGTGAAAAAGTCGTCAAAACGGGCGATATATTTTGGTTTAAACAATGATGTTAACGACCGGACATCAATAATTTCGTTTGGGAATTACGACGTTGCACATGCATTCTTTAATGACTTTTTAAATTTTATTAAGTGAAAAACGGACGTTATATTTTGGTCGAAACCATGACACACTATCGACGTAATGTAAATAACCAACAGCCGACCACAATTCAACGTCATTTTTGAGTTGCTGAAAAGAC